TGTATGATACCCTGAACCTCTTCTATGCTGGTTGTGCCTTCTAACTTTGTGTCTGAGGCACCTTTAATCAGTGTAAGCCAAGGTCATTCCTAAAAATGTTAAACAAGATTAGTATCAAGACTGATCCTTCAGAAACTCCACTAGTAACCTCCCCCTAGCCTGATCCTTCCTCTTTCATCACTACCCATTACCATCTTCCTTCAGTCCAGCTCCTTAACCACCTTACAGTTATTCCATTAATCCCCGTATTTTCAGGCTTCACTAATATTTCCCCATGCAGCACTGTATCAAATGCTATAATGAAGTTCAGCTATATGAGATTCCCCACACTCCTTTTATCTATACAATGAGTTATCTTAGACTGTCACACTAGTTTGGCATGATCTATCTTTAAACTCTAGCTCCAATAAGTGCCTGCAGCCAGCAGTGGCCCCCTTTGCTCCCAGCTAGGTTCTCCTCTTGCTGTTGCATTTTATCCCATTACCTCCTTGTCTATAATTGCTGTTTCCCTTTGTGTACCCTTTGTCTAAGGGTCTGTCCTGTAGATCAGCAGTTCTCAAAACAGAGAGAATGAGTCATGACTCCATTTGGAGTTGTCGCACTTACAAGTGGTTGCAGGCCCCACAGAAATCCAGTGACTGCAGATGGGCGTGGACTGGAAGTGGTGTCTTGCGTGATCATGAGGCAACTGGAAGTTAGGTCATATGCCTGGAAGTGGGACCACAACCCAGAAGAGTTTGGAAACTGCAGCTGTCTGTGAATTCGCAGTTTTATGTGCAGGTCTACTCCATCACATCCTCCGAACTCTGTTACAAGTCCAGCGTTGTCCTCAGCTGCATTTCCAGTCCTTGAATCTTCTCTTCTGTGAGCTTTCTCTGAAGACATTTTATTTATATATAGCTTCCATCAGGAACCCATAATAGGATACTACACACCTGGCAACTTATACCTTCAGGCATCTTTATTATATTTCTTATCCATCCAACGTCCTCCATCATCATCATCTCCCTTGTCCACCATCATCCTATAGATTTCCATGCAAACTTGTGGTTAGGTAGTCCCTCAAAAGGCCCTATTATTTCTGACCCTATTTATTTTGTGTTCTGTCCTCCATAGAATTTTGTTTGTGATTTCTTTTTTCTGGCCATTAGATGTAAGGATTTGTTTAACAATGTTTATGAAGACTAAGTTTTAAGATAGTAGGGTCTTGATAAATCTCCAAGTTTCAGCACCATGAAGTAAGGCAACCATTACATCGGTGCTAAATATACAGTTTAGTTTGGAGGGTGAGGTTTCCTGTTTCTCCAGATTGGCTTCAGGGTTGCAAAGGGCTGGAAAAAGTCCAAAAGCCTATTCTGTTGGCTGGAAAATAAACAAAAGACCTGCTTCTGGAATGGGTGAGGAATTGCAAAGGGAAAACTTGAGCAGACTCCTAGAAGGCAGCTGCTTTTGAAATCTCTGGCAAGAAAGCAGATGGTGTCGATGTTTGCAGGAGGATAATATTGAAAGAAGAAAAAAGTCAGCAGGCAGATTTACAATGGGAGTCTTCGTGGTCTGTAGCGTAATTCCATCGGAGAACACGGTGGATACATTCTGAAAAGCCAAGTTTCCCTATTATCCCTAAAGATTAACTAGACAACTTCTCTCTTCACATTAACCTCAGTTAGCCTTAAGGCCTTTTCCCTTCTGATTAAGTTATCTTTACTATCTGTATTCCGGTAGTGCCTAGAGGCTGCACCCAAATTGAGGCCCTGTTGTGATGGGCTCTGTATGATCACATAATAAGAGACAGTCCCTGCCCTGGAGACCTTGCCGTCTAAATAGACAAAGAGAGAAAACGAATGGAAGAGAAAAAGGCGTAGTGAACTTGCTCTGAGTGACACAGCAGAACCGTGGCAGAGCTGGGAATAAAACACAGGTCCCTTGGTGCCCTTTCACCAGACTGCCTTTCTGAAGTCTGACTCCTGAGCTAGCAGCTTCAGTTTCCTAGAGTGGCAGAAAGGGAGTTGTGCTGTGAGAGGAATCACTCAGCAACAGGAAGGGGAACTGAGAATAAAGTGGCTGGGATGAAGAGGCCTTAGAGATGGACAGGATGAACTCCTGGGTAAAACGCTCCAGCCATAACAGTTGGAGGATGGAAAGTATCCTAATGAGGCAGTGGTAGAGGACGCACAAACCATCAAAGGTGATGTATAATATGGTGAAAGCTAGATTCCTGTAAGGCCTAGGAACATTAGCTTTTCTTTCTATAGTTGATTTACTTTATTTTAGACCTTTGGCTATGCACAGCACTGTAGAGCTATAAATACCCTAGGGCTAGGCAAATCATAGGTGCCTGCTGAGTTACAGTCTGACCTGCAAGGGGGACAACATCAAACAAGACAAACTCAGAGGATCTAAGCATTTCCCTTGAAATCAAGAAGAGCCAAACAGAGGCCCAGATCTTTGCAGGTATTTAAGTGCCTTACTATTACTCAAATGCCTAAGTCTATTTTAGGAACAGGGCCCAAGCCATTTATGAGACTGAGCGGATCACAGACAGGAAGCTGTCTGAGATTTCTGAATGTTCTTGAAGGCAGGAAGGATATAATTTGGTGAACAGAAATCATTGGGTTCTTGTTTTGCTTTTTTTCTGACATCACTGCCAGGGTGAGATTTAGACTGCATGAGACTCTGGGACTATAAGGCCCATGTCACCCTGCAGTGAAACGTCTGACGTTTGATGGAATAGCGCTGTAATAAGTCACAGTCCAGGGGTGGAGCCTATGTCAAGAGTTTCCCCTCCTCCACCTTAATTAGCACAGTCTTACACACTGGAAATGTTCTTGGTACTGATCACTGAATAACCTTCCCATTGTTTCATTTTGAGTTCTGTGCTCAGTGACAAGTGCTATTGAGGTGTCAGTCTGGCCCTTCGACATCATCTGATCTTGCTGAAATATTCAAATACCCTGCCAGGCACAAATGCCGCTTTACAACCCCTTTGCAGTGGGAGAGGTTGTCTGGGCTTTACTTACCAAGTGTGACAATTATGCTTTGATAAAAATGTTCTACTTTAAAGGAAAATGCTGTGCAAATTGATTGTCTTGGGGCTAATGGAGTCTTCCTGCCCCAGCTGCTATCAGTGGGCCAGAGGTTATGTGCTAATTCATGCTGATGCATTAAGAAGACAACAACAAAAACCACTGCTGCTAAGCCAATGACACTCGTACTAAAGTGAAAATAAGCTGGCAGAAGAAACATATGTATTAGCCTTTTTTGCCTTTTGATAATTTGTCCCATTTATGTTGTACAGTGGGTTGAAAAGGTGGAGTGTAGTCCAGCTATTACAGGAAAAAGAGACAGGGGAGCAAAACTCTTCTGTCTCATTGCTAGTTCAACTACTGTCTGCTGAACTCTCTGGATCTGTTTGCATCACAGTTCACATTTTTATAAACTGGCATAATGGTACTCCTGTGCACCAATGTTTTGTGTATCCAAAAATGCTAACAGAACAACTTTAATTTAAAATTAGGGAAAACAACACAGTGGAAGTGAGTAAAAGTATGTTTGCCATGAGAGAGCACTGCATATCCTATTCCCCTCTCTACCTACTGCATCTGCTTAGCTTCACAAACCAGTGCTGGCCCTGCAGAAAGGCATCGTTCTTAGCAATTTGCAGGGGTGGCTGGACCACGTAGACACTGAGGATAGTTAAGAAAATCCTCTCTTTGTGCTGGTGGAGGGAGCCACATGATTGGAACTGCCACCAGCTGCCTTGGTGCAAATGGCAGCTTCCATTCCTTGCATGCCAAGTACTAAAATAGCTACCCCAGTTTGGCCAGTGTTGGATGCATCAAAGCTAATCCCAAGTATAGACAAGGACAGCGTGTGCAAGAGAAGAGCCAAGCTCTGTGTTGTGCGGCTGTGTATGGTCGAGGGCATGTGGGAGGTCATTACTTCCGACATTGCTAAGGATGCTAAGGGCTTGGTCCACAGAGAAATAAACATACATCAAAGTCCCAATCCCTACTTAAGCTTCAACAGCTTTTAAAAAACTATTTTCACTCACTCATAAGAGCTGCTTGATTTTACATCAGGATAAAGAGCTGAGCTATGTTACTTAGTGGCTCACTCTGTCTTCAGTCAGTGGGTGCCCCCTCATCAGGGGTTTCAGACCTCCAAGGCGGTCAGGCAGGCTCCTGCACTTTGTCAAAGCCAGGCCAGGAGACTTGAGCTGCACGGCCTGGCTCTGAGTGGATAAATATGGCAAGATGCCTTTTGGGGGCCCGACAGAGGATTAGCCTGGGATTTACCCAATACCCACTTGATAAGAAGCTCTCCAAGTTTAAAGCCATAATCTCCTGATCAGGACACTATTTTTGCACAGAAACCAAAAAAAAAACAACAACAAAAAAATGCCCTGTGCAGCCACAGCCTGTTTATCCAAAGATTCATCTAGTACAAGAGCCATATTTTACTGTCAGATGATCTCCATTAGCTCCAAATGTGAAATCAACACTCTCAGCCTTTCCCAATCTCTTTCTGGCTTTGAAAAGGTAGAAAAGGCAATCCAGGGACTGTTCAAAGGATATATACCTGCTTTCTTCTGCCTGACTTCAGATGAGCATGGCTATTGGCTAACTACCTCCCTATATATACACTAGCACTAACCTCGCATTGTGTGTCTAAGGAAGGAACTAAACCCTCAGTTACTTAAGGAGAGAGGAACCGTGCTAGCAGAAATCCCTGCCTGTGCTCAGATGTGATGCTGCAGCACTAGTGAGTGCTGCAGACACCCGTGCCATGGTGCAGTGCAAGGCAAATACTTGCCAGTGATGTGGGTACTGTGACCCCAGCACCTTTCCCTTCTGAAGCTCTCTTCTCTCCCTCTCAGATTGCCAGAGGTGAATGGTATTATCTGGGACCAAGTTGTTCTTTGTTCTCTGCAAGACCTTTTCTGGACAGATTCATCTCTGAGCTGAAGCTATAGGGAGAGCTGATCTTTCTCTGCCTTTCAGATTTACTCTGTATGCTGTGGACACCCGAGGGAGGCATTCAGAGCTGAGCACCGTCACGCTGAGGACAGCCTGTCCACTGGTGGATGATAACAAGGCGGAAGGTAAGCATTTGGTCTCCAGATGGAGACCCAAAGACATGTCCTCCTATTAATTAGTTCCCTCTAAAGCAGAGGTTCCCAACCACTGGGCCACAGCCCACTACGGGGCCATGAAGGGTTGGCTGCTGGGTCATGGCATGAACCCCCTGTTCGGACCCCCATCTGTCTGCCCAGGTGAGCAGCTTCTGCTGCCGGCAGTCACGTACGGGGTTAAAGCTGGGCAGTGGGGCAGCCCCAGGAGGGAGGCAGCCGGCTCCATGCACCCCATCCCACTCCCATGCCAATCCTCAGTATAACAAACAGTGGGAACCACTGCTCAAAAGCAGTGCTTCTCAGCAGTGGTATATCCAACAGCACAGGTACTTCAGGCTTTTGTGACTAGTGCTCTAGGCTCTCCTTCCCTTGGCTTAATTGGTCCTTCTCAAGATTGTACACACATTGGGCAGCAATATAAAGCACTAGCACCCAACCTTCTGCCCCTGCAGGTCAGGTGAGTGGTCTAGCGTCAGTCTGCAGGGCCGATCCCGCATGGGGTCATTCTGTGGGTACAACCCCACAGGCCAGGATCCATTCATGCAGGGTCAGTCTATAGATGCCTCAGTTGGCCCAGCCTGACCCTGTGTGCCTGGATCTAGCCATGCTCTGGCCTTAACGAACCCTGTGTGCCTGCATTCAGTCACATGCCAGCCAAGCCCAACCCTATGTGCCCAAATCCAGCTGCACATCGGCCTGACCTAGCCCTGCACATCCACATCCTGTTGCATGCTGGAGCAATCTAGCATGCAGGGTCATGTTATTAGACGTACGGGACTCCCCACAAGTCTGGAAATTTGACATCAAGGGAATGGTAATAAACACTACGATTTTCCCCCTACCACCAAATTTGCAGAAGTCAGGGGAGCCTCTGTGGGCCAAATCTGGCTCACAGGCTGGGAGTTGAGCATCGCTAGTTTAGAGAGTGCACTGCTGAATGGGAGGTGACAGATACTGCCTGGTAAAGCCAAGGTGTGTTAAACCATAACCTGGTAAATGTTCTACATGGACAGACCCTCTTCTTGAGCCACATGGAGCCATGTCAGAGTCACTGGGACTCTGGTTCTAGTTGTGCAGAGCCACTTGCAGGATTGGAGACTTTGTTCGGTCAGGCTGACCACATAGGTTGGCAAGGACTGCTTCACAGCTGACATCCCACTTCCTGCTCTCCTTTGGTGTCATGTTCCATGCGGTAGTGCCTTCTTTTCCCTTGTTCACCTCCTGTGCTCCTTTTCAGAGATAGCTGACAAAATCTACAACCTCTACAACGGCTACACCAGTGGGAAGGAGCAGCAAACAGCCTATAACACACTGATGGAGGTCTCCGCATCCATGCTCTTCCGAGTTCAGCACCATTACAATTCACACTATGAAAAGTTTGGAGACTTTGTTTGGCGCAGCGAGGATGAGCTGGGGCCCAGGTACCTATGCTTTCTCAAAGTCCTTTGGGTTTAGTCGATCCACCATCATTACCTGGCCTGCGTTCCAGCTGCTGAGTGCCCTGTACTTAAATCACTAGTCACATGAACTTGTCCTAGTGCCTAGCACCATTTTAGACCTTGACCCATCTTCTGTTGCGAGTAGCTCAAGAGAGGCTGAGTTCTGGGACAGTTTAGGACATTGGTGAATTATAACAGCTTTGTGGAAGTGTGGTGCTAGCATAATGGAATGGGCTTGGACAGGAAAAGAAGCATTTTGAATGTCCCTGGAAAGGAGCTAGTAAGTGCTTTACCTCTCAGAACCGACTTCTTGTATTCTTAAGTCTGCGGCGATGAGTGGCTTTTGCTTGTGTTTTGGCTTTGATCAGCTGTTTGGTTTACTAAGCTAAAATATCACAGAATGTCCCACACTATGTCCACAGATCTGAGGGGCTCAGAAAGGCTTTGTTCTAGAAGTTGGGGCTATGAAGCATAAGAGCCTCCTGAAGTTTTTATTTAAGGGTCAAGAGAGAAGGTTTACATGAAAAGACAGGCTTGTCATCATGACAGATTGCACAGAAAGATACCAATTCCTTAAGTGATCTACAGCTGGCAAGTCATTGGGTTTTCCTCTGTAGTTATACCCATCTGATATCTCCTTAAAGTTTGGTGATAGACCTATATGTATTTGATACTCTGTGGGACAATAACCCCCAACATCATGGAAACTGAAAACTCTCTCTCACTTGACATACCAAGGTTACCTATAATTTTCTATCCTTCTAGTCAGTCTAGTTCATTGAGCTAGGTTCCAGTTTTACAGCATATCTTTACTCACTCTCCATCATGGTTTCTGGGTGCCTTGCAAATTATAAGTACTCTCAAGGATCTCCCGTCATCCAGAGACTATAGTACGAGCATACTACAGTGGCATCTTTAAATTCTGGCTATATAGTGCCCACTGCAAAATGTCAAAAGATGAAGCAGACTCAGCTTCCATCCTTAATTTGTTGCTGAGTGTGGGGATTGGGAGCTGGGTAACACGGCGACTATAAAGAATAGCAGTTCCGGCGGTACGCTGCCCCCAAACATCACACGGAAGTGTTTGCAAACGTGCAGGTTCTGACAGACTATTGCTAAGGAATAAAGCATCCGAGGAATACACCATGTCCGAGGGCTGGGAGAGGAAATTATCCTGTCACAATGTGTTTGCCAAGCCTGGAAAGCGGCTACCATAACACCCCATGACTGCTCCGCCAGTCCCAGCCGTCCCACCATTGCGGAATTCCTCACTGGATTCCAAGTTCAGGAGCAGGCTGAGGGATGCTTTACAAAGTCTCTGCTCCGTCTGCTGTCTGAGAGATCTAAAGATAGGAACGGGGAGGAATGTGAAGGAGTAACTAATGGTAACAATGAAATAACTTCAGAAGATTGTAATTTTCTTGCCCACTCTGCTTATTTGGCTTCCCCAGAGATCCGTCCCTGACTCCAGAGGCATAGTTCCTTGCAAATTGCTCAACATAAATCCAGGTTAGCCTGTGACTGGCCCTCCCACAGAGGTGACCTTGGTTATAATTTCTTTGTTAGCTCATTAACTTCTGATGTGCAGCCACTGTCTCATTCTTTCTACCATCTTCCTCTTTCCTTGATGAGACTGGAAGCTGTTTCTTCTCTTATGCCATCCCTGTCTATATAAACCTTTGGGAAACATGGCCTTTTGTTACTTAACTTTTCCTGGACCCTCAAGTGGCAGTGACAGTGCACCTGCATAGGATAATACCTAGCATGAAAATGCAAACCAGGCAAACTTTTTTTCCCCTGTGCTAAGCATGGACATTTGAAAGGGTTCATCCAGTATGCCCTTGCTGTTCCACTTACAGAAAGTAATGTCTAGATTTGTTCATGTACTCTGCAGGCACATATACATGAGACTGTACTGCACAGTAGTTACTGCTCATTTATTTAGTACTTGTATAATCAAGTACTGCACAGTAACACCAGCAAACATCTTTTAAGTGACACTACTGCTCAGTAGCCTAATAATACTGCACAGTAGTGTAGTAACGCTGTTGGTGCTGTGACATGCTACTGCATGGTATTATATGGCTACTGAGCAGTCAGCATCTCATGTAGATGCACCCTGCAAGTGGCTGTCTTCCACACAGAGAAAAGGATCTCCAGTCGAACCTCAGATGCCCCTATTGTGCATCTTGAGGAGCTGGTACCTCATAGCCATGAGGGAACTTCTGAAAGTATCACTCCTCTTTGCATGCAAGACCAGGCTGTTGCCAAGAATGACAGTCTGTCCTCCAGCTCCATTGCTCAAAGAGCCGTGACAATGATGGAGCCACTGACAGCAAGAGAGGTGAATGAGGATTTTCCAAGGGAACATCTCATAATGAGATTTTAATGGACAGGCTGTTCTCATTCCCAGGAGGTCATTCATTTTCATACCTTGAAATGTTTATCAGATGAGCCTCAGATCTACAGTAAATGTTGGCTCATAAAACTTAGTGACAAGAGGGAAGTCTATTGCCTCTGAGTAATAAATACATCATGTTGGAGCCCTCGAGAGCCCAGTTTCCATGAAAGCCACAGGTTACTGCAAACAGCTGCTCCGAGAAGACACACTGACAGCCAGATGTCCCAACCAGACGGTTTACATTAAGGAGACATTAAAAAACTTAGCTCATAGGTGGCCCAAGACCAGGACTTGCTGTGGTCAGCAGTGTCTTGGCACCTGGTTTGGTCTGTCCTGCTACTCTCCTTTAAATACACACAAAAAGAGACTGCAGCATTAACTTGTTCCAACAAAACAGAGGAATCTGTCTAGACCAGTAAAGGTTTAATGCTACTGTGTATTCAGTGCTTCACTCCTCCGTGGGCTTTGTTTGTTTGCTTGTTTGTTTGTCGTGTTTTGTTTTGTCGCAGTGACGGGGCTTTAATATGATAACGACTCTTTTAATAACGCGAGAGATTTTAGGGGGCAGTGTCCGCCGCTCAAGAGGAAGGGAAGGAAGCTGATAAGGTTAGATTGTTTTCTCCCTTCCCCACACCCGACTCTTGCCCACCTTCTCTCATCGCTTGAGGAAATGACATCAGCATAGGGTTTGAAGGCCCTCCCTGTCTTAAAGCAAGCCTGCTAGAGAGGGGAGAGTCGATCCTCTTAAAACGCAAGCGTCTCCACCAGGCAGCAGCTGCATTGTGGTAACAGGAGGGAGTGTGACGCACTGATGAGAGGCTGCGATAACACCCTGCGGCGTTCTGGGCTCTCTCTCTTCCCATCGGAGAGCCTGGCAGACCCGGGTCAGTTATAACTTTAGTGGAAAATCTGAAATCATTACAAGGACACCGCACAGGACATACCAAGCAGGCAGATGCCCTCTCCCCCACGCTCCCACTGCAGCCTTAGGACAAGACTCCACTTGATTTAAGGAAGATGCTGCTACCTGCCTGCCCTTGGATTCTAGCTTGTGCAATGCTAGTGCTGCTCGTTCTGGGACGGGTACCCAGGCACTTTGCAGGCAGATGGGAGCAAAGCGAGCATCACTGTCCCCTTGTTACTGATGGACAGAGTGAAGCAGAGAAAGGGAAACTGCTTCATCTTTAGGCAGCTGCTGGTCTATGCCAGAGCCGGAAAAAGCCGACCTGAGGTGCTCAGTCCTCAGTTCTTTAACGTGCCTGCTCTGAGCTGGGAGCCCCTGTCCTTTGCTCTAATCATTGTACCCTGCTACCTCCCAGAAAACTGGGACCCAGACATCCTGACTCTCTGCCCCCTGCTCTGATCATCACTGGCACATGCTTCCTTATGGCAGAGCTTTTAGTCAGATGAAGGCTTTCAGCAGCCATTCAGCAAAGACCCTTCACCGTGTCTATTCAAACTTCCCTCCCACAAGGTACAAGAGAAGGAAGCAACAGTGCAGAGCCTCTGTTTCTAATCCTCCGCTCCATCATTCTTGACTGCAAAATCAACCCTCTAAATCCTTTGCTTAAATAGGAAACAGAGCTGGTCCCTGGCAGGCACTGACTTAAAACAACTGACCTTGAAATGCTGTGTGGCAAGCAAGATGGACCCTAGCAGGCTGCATTATCAGTTGAGGATGTCTTAGAGTGGGAAGTGGAAGCAATTAAGGCTCAATATAGAGCATGGTCAGCCTTGGCTGTAGCCTGCTATAGGTCTGACATTCCCAGCCATCCCCTCCTGCTCCTGCCCTTTCATAAGGCAATAAATTGTTGTTTCTGGCGGGGGTGGGGTAGGTCAGCATTTAGGAAGATTTCATTTCCAGTATTTGAAAAGGTGGTCACTGTGACCCGACATCTCTCCGCAGGGAGCACTTGGGTAATACCCGGAGTTTGATTTATGGCGTTAAATTGGCAGACCAAGAACTGCTCCTGTAATTTATTACCCAGCCTTCCCCAGAAGACTTC